CATCATCGAGCGTAGACTAATTCTCCTAAGGATTATCGGTCTAAGGGTCATTCCGTCTGTGGCGGCCCCTGCTAATGTAGTAGCCGCTACCGCGGGCTCCAGCACCGTAGCCTCCACCACCCTCGCCGCCACCACCCTCGCCGCCGCCGCCTTCGCCGCCGCCGCCCTCGCCGCCGCCGCCCGCACCGCCGCTGCCCTCGCCCCCGCCGCCCTCGCCGCCCCCGCCCTCGCCGCCGCCACCGTCGCTACCGCATCCCGCCCCACCACTACCCTCGCCGCCGCCGCCGTCGCCACCGACGCCGTGCACCGAAGTTAGCGACCCCAACACTGTGGATTTGGGCACGGGCACAATCATCTACCCACGCTCGTATCCCATGTCGTCTCAGCTCCTCAATGCCAGCTATGTGGATGTGACGTCAGTCAAGCTACAGGCCTATTGGCAGCATAGCGGCACATGCAGTGGGGACAACTGTGCAGACCCAGCCGACGGCAAAGTGGTGTCTATTGGAGTGCAATCCTTCAACGCCCCAGCTGGTTACTCAGCACTTGGGGACGCGTACTTTTGGGTCGTGGGCGCGATAGACATCAACCTCAGGTTGGTAATGTTGATGAGGATCTACGCTGTCCCACTGGCCAAGTCGGTGGGTTCCTGGGCAGGAGGCTATGATGAGGCCCTCATCATGAACGGGCAAGATCCAACAAAAACTGTGGGCTGCGATGGCTTGGGGCTGGCATGCACTTCAACCGACGAGATCAACAGCATTGGCGATTCGACACTACTCGATGCGTTTGACACTTGCGATTCGTATGAACGTTCTTCGTGTACGAGGGGTGTAGATTACGGGGGGACTGATTCCAACGGGATCGGTGCCGCGGAGATCAATTACGGCTTCGACACGACGTTCTGCTGAGTGGTGACGTCAATCAAAACCGCGCCGGCACTGTAGTTCTTGCACACCATTCCTCGCTTTCCGCTCATTGGGAGGGCGCCTACAAACACGGTGGAAGCCGCGGCGGTGGCGGCGGTGTGACCGCTCGTGCTACAAGAAGGCGTAGTTCAGCATGATCAGGGGCGGAGCAGCATGTAGCAGAGCATGTACGTTTTGCGTTTACACGGTGTGTACTACTACATACACTGCGTACGAGGGAGTACAGTGGGGTGGGGGTCTTATTTTGTGTATCGTGTATATATCAACTTGTCACCGGCTCAAAAGGCAAGCGGCCGTGAAACGTCCGGCTATCTCGCGAAGAGAGAGTTGGAGAGAGAGATTCTCTTGAAAACCACGAAGAAATCGCGAGTTGAGTCATTGCGTTGTTTGGGAAGACTTTTGGGCTGGACACCCGTCTCGACGTTTTTGTGGTTTGCAAATTACGGCCGTCCCAAAACAAAGGTCAAAGCACAGGTAGCCTTTACGCCATTTTTCGCCATTTTTCGCTTCGCTGCTGCGGCCTGGGGATAGGGGTAGGTAGGTAGGTAGGTAGGGGGTCCCGTACCATGCGGAATCAACCCTATCCAGTGCTCAAGCAAGTGCTCAAGGACGTGCACCTCGATCCTGTCCGTGTTTATGTGCTTGTGCATGTGCATGTAGGAATCCTACATGCGGGGGGGCAGAGAGAGAGACGTACTCGCATGACCCAGCACCCTCCCCAATGAACACACCAATGAGCGAGGGCGGGCAGACGATCGAGTGGTCCTCCCATCAGGCATGATGCTCGTCGCACTCTGCTTGCCTGCCTTGCCGCTGCCAACACAGCGAGGGCAGACCTTCTCCCGACGCCTCGCCATCGCCGTTCTGCCTCTTCCGGTTGTTCCTGTGGCGCTTGCAGGCGATGCACTCGCAGCGTCCCCGCCGCTCCGCTACACGAGCGCGTCGAGTGGATTGCAGTGGGTCGATTTGCGCCAAGGTTCTGGCAACGCGCCGAGAAGGGGTGATGAAGTGAGTGTACATTATATCATGACCCGCAGGGGCGGAGCAAAGGTGCACTCGACCCGCGAGGCCGGCGAGCCCTTCTCTTGGACGCTGGGGGACGGGTCGGTCATTGAGGGGCTAGAGCTCGCTGTCGGAGGCGGCGGCGGCCTGCCTCCAATGCTGGTCGGCGGCGCGCGCCGCGTGATTGTTCCGATGGCACGCGGTTATGGCTCGCAAACGGGCGGGCCTTCCAGGGCCAAGGAGGCGCAGCAGGACCGGCTCTGGGCGACAGACGTGCGCGACTTGGGGCCGGTGCGCGCGGTGGCCTTCCCCCGTGCCCCACTCGTCCCGCCAAGACTGGCCGCGCACCCACTCCCCTTGCGTTCGCCACGGGTCATATGGCGTGGCCACGTTGTTCGAGGCGGCCAGAGAGGGAGCGCACACCGCATGCTTTAACCCACCGCCGGCGTGCTCGTGCCGACCGGTGACCTGTCTCGTACGACAGCCTTTGTGCACCCCACTAGGTGCCGCCCGAGTATGAGTGGCAGGACGCTTTCAGCGGCGAGCGCGTCAACTCCTACTTGCGCTTCAAAAGCATGTACCAAAATCCGAACGCCTACGACCAGGCTAGCCTCCCTCTCCGCCCGTTCTGCCCCCACGATGCCGCCTCTTCCGACGCCCCCGTCCGTGCCTTGCCCAGCCCGACCTCGTGTTCGACATCCTGCTCCGCTCGAGTAGCAGCAGCTCGCCACCCGCGCAGCAAGCAGAGGAGCCTGAGGAGGGCCCTCCGTAGAACGCCTGGCGTTCTGGCGTTCTCGAAGGGGGGAGGAAAGAAAATAACCTCAAAAAGATTTTGCGGGAGAAAGGAAAGAAATTGGCTTTGATGATTGGCATCGGGCTACGGGCGAGGTACGCAAAGAATTACATCGTCGGGCTTCACCACGTGGCTCGTCGTCGGCGGTCGGCGGTCTCGGCACGCGCTGCTCCTCACGAGGTCACGTGCGTGCCCCGCCCGTCGCCGATGTATTTACCGACCCTCACACCTGTGCTGCGTGCCCCCGCCCGATGTGTATACACGCACACACACCTCCGGGACCACACTCGGGGCACACTTGCTTCGACGGCTGCACTCTTCTCCATCGGTCCGCGCCTACAGGTGTCCAGCTCTGGCTGCTGGTGCAACAATGCAGCTGTATAGGTCACTAGAGACTACCCACACCATCGCTACATCACCACAGCCACCAAGTCGGATACAAGTCGATGACAATGTGCGCGGCAGGAGAAACCCAACAGCATGACAATGTGCGCGGCAGGACAAACCAAACATGAGACACGGTTACACAAGGACGGTCAGGCTACGGTCAGGAAGTAGGTTTGAGTTCACACTCTCCAACATTGCGGCTCACTGCGGGGTTGTGGCACCTTGAACACGAGAGAGCCGAACCGAGACGCAAAAAAAGAAATCGACGAGCGCGCGCGTGGAATCGAAAATTCTTCGCTTTGTGAGCCTGTGTGCTAAAAAAGAAAGAAAGAAAACAGACACGCCAAACGAGGGATGGGACGAGGACAGGGTCCCCACCTGCACGAGCAGGATTTTGGAAGGACGATCAGGGGGACAGGTGGGGCTCTCCTGCTCCTGACAAGGGACACGACAGGCTCGCAGCGCGGTGCGCGGTGGACTCCCACATCCACTGGCGGTCTCATCTCAGTCTAGCGACCTGCCTCCAGCTTGTCGCTGGCAGTCTCTCCTACCACAGGCACACTGACACAGGGGTGGCAGGGGCGGCGGCACGAGTCTCCCACATACTATGCGGGCCTCACTAGAGGTGCGGCCTGTGCGTGTCCTCGCCCTTGAGGGGGGAGGGGAAGGGGCTGTGTGTCTGTGCATGTGTGTGTGTGTGTGTGTGTGTGTGTGTGTGTGTGTGTGTGTGTGTGTGTGTGTGTGTGTGTGTTGTGTAAAAGAAAGAAAGAAAGAAAACAGACAACCCAAGGGAGGGATGGGAGGACGGCACGCCGCCACCACACAGGGATTTTAAGGAGAGGTGTGTGGTGCGCTATCCGTCGCCCACCCTAGGGAGTCTGCCTCTTCCTATCTCTCTTCGCAGTCTCTCGCTGATTCTCGCTGCAACCTTCATGCCACCACGCGATCGTCCCACCCTCGTCGTTCTCTCCCTTGTCACTTCCTCCTCTGTCGCGTTGTTCTCTTCTGCCCCGTCCTGCGACGCCGCCGCCTGCCGGTCCCTTGTTCTCGCGGCTTCTTTCGCCTGTCGGCGCAACTCCGTCCTCCTCGCGGCGTATCCTGGCCCCTCGAGTGTGTGTGCTGCCAGAGGGTTTGTTTAAATTCTTTCCTGCGAGGTTGTGGTTTTGTGGGCTCACTGCGCGGGTGCACCTGTGCGCCTCGCCGAGCCTCACCAGCAGCCTGTCCCGCGCTGCCCGCGCTATCCCAGCCTGGCTCTCCTTGCACGCTCCGTTGCCGCTCCCCAGTGGCCTGAGTCGCCTAGCCCGAACTGAGCGCAAACGCTGTGCTTGCAGGCGTCCCATCGACAATGGGAGCTGACGCAGAGCTCTCACGCTCCCGCGACGCCAGCGTGTGTGACCTCGCCGGCCTGTGCGCTGCGAAAGACGTCAAGCCCGGTAACTCGAGCGCAGCGCCCTCCGACATCTTGCGCGGAGTCTCGCTGATCTTCGGTCTCGCGCTGATGCTCGGATTCTCATACACCGCGTCTCAAGCGCTCACGCACTGAGGAGAATATGTGGCGGCCGAGGCGGCGCTGGCCTCGGCCGAGGCGGCGCTCGCGGCGGCGTTGTCCAAGGAGAGGCGCGCGGCCACTGCCACTGCGATGGCCAAGGCTGCCGCTGCCAGGATGGCAGCGGATGCGGCCCGGCGCTCGTAGTGAAGCTGCTGACTGGCGTGGCCGCTCTCGGTACGTGTGCGGGGAAGCTCGAGGACTCTCTGGGGGCTGTGCACATGCATGCTAGTTGTTCAGCACGGCAGTTTGTTTCCACAAATTCGTGATCTCCTCGTGCGGGCTCAAACCTCGGGACCGCCGGGGAGCGGGGTTGTGCTTTTGCGTGAAGACGCCAACCTCAGGGCGGGAATACGGCATCGTAGTGTCTTCAGAGCACCGGATTGCCGCTCGCTAAACGAGCCGTAGTGCGCAACGGGGGAGGGAAGCGCTCTGCAGCGGGACGCCGGCACGCGATTCAGCGGCGGCCAGGCGGCGGCATCTCGGCACGCGGGGGGGGGCATATACTCAGCCGACTCGTACGACAAAGGACGAGGAAGAGGGCGCTCGCGTCGGCGCGGGCTGGGCTTGCTGCGGCACAAGAGCTGAGGCGCTCCGAGTGCGACAACCTGAGGACAGCGCAGTGTAGGCTGCTAAACGAAACGCGACATGAGCGACATCAAAGCGGCCGAGCCGGCGAGCGCCGATGGCCGACGAGGTAAAACACGCAGCTCGAGCTGCTCTGCCAGGGGCCCCTCCACTCGCCTGCACCTGCTCGAACCCTGAGCACTGTGCAGCGTTGCACGCGTTCGCATGAATGCACGTTGAGATGTACGAAGGTGGTAGTACTTATTGTCTTGAGTATTGCGCTTCTCTCGACAGAGAGCGCTAGCCTCTACAGTTGTACCCCTTCGGTCCGTCGAATCTCGGCGCGGCAGATGCGACGCCGAGACTGACGGAATGGGCTGCTGAGCCTCCCCCACACACGAGAACACCACAGGGACACCCATGACACACTAGAACGGTATGCCACGAGGCGGGATGAGACTAGACGTCTCGGACGAGACTCGTCACTCGACGGAAACCTAGATCGTGAACATCGGGTTGCTGCGTGGCGGGTCAACCCCATTATGCGCAGTAATCCAGATGTCAACTGCACCTCAGACAGTCGCCGGCGTGGGCGGGAGGGGCGACTGTATCTGGGCGCGGTAGCGGTAGACGGGCAAGCCACAGCTGGCAAGATGTCGATCGCCATACGAGACCTTGCTCGAGCCGCGGCGGGGCCGCGCTGATGCCGCAGCGAGGCGGAGAGGTCAAGGGGCGCTGCACAACAAGATGGAGGGGATGCTGCTTCGCCCTTCGCGTGCAGACAGCGTTGCGCGAGCATTGGAGAGGCCAGCCTCCGGCTTCTCAGCGTGTCGCGAGTACTGTGTCTCTATCTGCCTGGTGGATGGGTGTGCGGTGGGGGACTGGGGACTCCTGCTGGCTTTTGGTTACAAATTTACGGAATTACGGATTTACGGATCGACCCCCCTGCCTCCCCGTCCCGCTGCCCGGCCGTGAGACGCCGATCTACGAATCAAGTTGGTGCTGGCGAGCGGGCGATGCGTCCTAAGTACCCGCCAAGCTGAAGGCCTCGCCGCGACGATAAGGCAGCACCTCGTCCAAGCCGGAGCCTCCGCGGAAGACGCGGTCACCGCCCTGGTCGCGGAGAGCCTCCTCTACGACGCGGCGGCGATCCGCGCCTGGCATGGGCGGCGGCGCAGGCTCGCCGCTCACGCACTCGATTCTCGACTCGCTCCTCAAAGCCGCACTCCTCCACACGCCTGCGGAGAGGCGGCCGGCCCAAGATCTACACCTGGGCTGGCACTCCTCGGTCCCGCTCACGTCGCTTCGACTCGCCTATGGAAGAGGGGCTCGAACTGTCCGCCGATGATCAGCCCGCCGTTGGATCTGTTGAATACGACGAGATGTCCGAGTTCCGCACCGCCTACATGGCCATCGTCGGCGGACTACTGTGGCTTGCCAACATGACGCGCGTCGACATCGCTTATTCAGCATCTCAGCTCGCTCGCTTCATGACCAACCCAGGCCCGTCGCACTTTAAAACCGCCATCCGGGTGCTTATCTACGTGCGCGACACAGCTGACCGCGCCCTCGTCATGCAGCCGAACCCCGACCGCAACCTTGAGAGCTACGTCGATTCTAACTGGGCGACGAAATTCTCTTGGTCTTGCTCCGGTGGCATGTTCTTCTTCTACGGATGCCTCTTCCACTGGTTCTCCAAAATGCAGCGATCCGTCACGCTGTCTAGCGCCGAGGCAGAGTTCTTTGGCGCCATGCTAGCCGCCAAGGAGGTGATTTTCATCCGTGAGCTACTGATCGACCTTGGGTTGTCGCTGCTGCGCGAGCTGCGCATCGAGGAGAATGGGCTGCGCTCATTGGAGCACATCAGCGCCGCCTCAAACCTCGCGACGCTTGCCCTCGGCTCGAATCGCATCAGTGACCTTGCGGAGCTAGAGAAGCTGACCGAATGTGCTGCTCTGCAGTCTCTGGCTCTCGCGAACAACCCGGTGGCGCGCAGGCAACTTTACCGGCCGTCTCTAGTGCGGCGCATGCTCTCTCTACACGTGATTGATGGGCGCGAGATTTCGCCAGAAGAGCGCGCTCGGACCGAAGCCATGTACAGTGCCGAGGCGCGAGCCGCCGCCGCCACTCAGGCTCATTTCACACAGGCCCACCATATGGCACACCACGGCGCGGCCTCTGAGGTCCGAAGCTACGCGGCAAAGGTCCCGCTCAAACTCACTTCGATGAATTTCGACCAGCTAGCCCTCGGGGGCGCAGACTTTGGAGGCGGCAGTGGCGGCGCATACTCCGGCTTGGTCGGGCCGGCGGTGGCGAGTGGCTACCGAGAGAGCAGCGGCCAGAATCTCGCCATGGCAGCTCAGCAGCTGCAGCGCGGAAGCCTCGGGACCAGTGGCTTTGAGGCCGCACTGCGGACCGCACGGCGCGTGGACAGCGGAGGGGTGCGGGCTGGCGAGGGCCAGGCCGACTACAGCAGCTTCCGAGAGTACAACCAAAGTCGGAGGATCAAAACTGGGCTGTGAATTTAGAAGTACCCACGTACGTCAGATGTCACAGTTTGTGTCCTCGAGTGTCGCTGTCGGACCCTCTTCAAAAGTAGGTCTAGGGGTGCGAATGTACACACATATTAATACGGTATCTCCGCCTCACCCGCCACCCCGCGCGCGAGATGTGCGCATAGAGCCGCGTACACACGTGCATGTGCACACAAGTCTCGTAATTGCACATCCTCGCGCATGCACGATTCAGACACACATGAGCAAATGTATGGGCAAGGCCAAGGGAGGCAAAATTTCATTCGTATATGCAAAACACGCGTACCCTGCACACCGCCTCCACGCGTGATTCGGTCTGTCACGGACGAGCAGCCGGTCAGGCCGCATAACAAGTGCCTGTAGCTGTACCCGAGGGACGTGTGCGACCTGTACCTGCACCCGACAAAGTACTGCCGAAAGCGGAACTGAAGTTGCCGCCTTGTGCGTCGCCGCAATCAAGGGGCAACAAACACGTGGAGAAAGGGCCAACATAGTGAGCGCTGGCGTCATGCAACGTTGCAACCTCTGGAGCGAGGCGCTCACGGCCCCCCGCCAAAGCAAGCAGCGCCCCCGCCGCCTTCGCTGCCAGCGAGGGCTTTCTCCGCGGCGCCGGGCTCGACAGCCTGGCAATGGTGGCCGAGCAGGCGGCCGTCGTGCTCGCACCAAGGCGAGAGGAGGAGGAGGTCGGCAGAGAGAGGCAGGATACCTTCGCCGAGGCGCGTCTTTTCGAAGGTGGCGCGCTGCAGCAGTAGCACCGTGTGCGGGGCGCCGTCCACCGGGGGCGGGTGGAGACGCTCGCACGTGACCGCCACCAGTGGCTGCGACGCGGCGGAGGTGGCGACGGCGCGCAGCAAGAGCGCCTCGAGGGCGGGCGTGACGAGCGCCATGCGGAGACGATCGGCGCAGAGCGGCATGAGGCCGCCGAGTCCGTGCTTCGCGTTGAGCATCGAGCGATCCGCCTCGACGGCGTGTAGCGCACGTTGCGCCTCCTGCCCGAGCGGGCCTGTTGCCGGCCGCCGGCCGCCACCGCGGGCGCCTGCAGGGAGCGCTGCGACGAGCTGGTTGGGCCGGGACAGCCCGGCGACGAGGCCACTCGAGCGCCGGCCGCCCGAGCGCCCATCGCGTGTCACGCCCGACGACGGCACAAGGGGGCCCGGCCCCGGGAAATCACTCGGCGTCGACGGCGACGGCATCAGCGGCAGTGCCCAGGGCTGTGGTGGAGCCTCGCCGTCGGAGCTGTCAATGTCGTCACTTGCGCTTTGCGGCGGAGCTAGACGCGAACGCGCCGCTCGCGGATGATTGGGGAGCGTGCACAAGCCGCCTGCGCCGGCGGAGCCGCCGCCGCCAGCGCTTCCACCAATCAGGCTTGGGGCAAGCCGTCGCGAGAAGGGCGTGTGGCCAGCGGCCGCGGAGACAGTGCTCGTTCGCGGGGCGGGCGTGGCGGCGGTGGCGGGAGGGGGCGCCCGCAGCGAATCCGGAAGACGCCAGCCTCTGGCGTTCTGCATCGAGCGCTAACTGTCGGTCTCGCGGAGCCAGCTGCTCGGCAAGCTTGGCTCGCGGAGCCAAGCTTGGTCGAACTCTGTTCACGGTCAGTCCTTCGGTAAGCGCGGGTTGGCGTGGGTTCCACCGGTTAGTGCTCCACTAACCCGGCACGGGTTAGCACGGGTTAGAACAGGTTACCATAACCCGACGCTAACCCGGCACTAACCCATCCTAACGTATGCCCCCGAGCAGCGCGGGTTAGCGCCGGGTTAGCGCCGGGTTAGTCTCGGGTTAGTTAGTCTGGGTTAGGCTTGGGATTGGGTTACGGCTCGTTCCACCCCTCTCTCGTGCGTTCACTCACTCGGGTGCCCGCCGCAGCCGTTTCATCTCGCCAACCAGCTCTAACCCGGGGTGCGCTCCACTAACCCGGCCCTAACCCACCCCTAACCTGGCGCAGACCCATGCTGACGTATGCCCCCCAGCCGCACGGGTTAGTGCCGGGTTAGTGCCGGGTTGTGGTAACCCATTCTGACCCGTGCTGACCCGTGCCGGGTTAGTGAGCACTAACCCGCGCTAACCCGCGCTTACCGAAAGACTCACTTCACGTAAACGCACAACCCCGGGCCCGAAATGAGTTCACACAAAAACACAACCACGGACCCAAGACGCACAAGCTCAGACAGTCGAGAAAGGGATAGACCGCAACGACAGTCAGAAGTCAGCGCTGGGTCCCAGGGCGAATGCGATGACGGCCTCTAGTGTGAGCTCACTACTGTTCACAGCCTTGTTATTGACAAGAAAATACGTTCACATAAATGCACAACCCCGGCCGGGCCCCGAAATAGCACAGTGACAGTCAGACATGCAACACGGGGACCCAGGGACTCTGTTCACAGACCTTGTTATTGAGAAGAAAATACGTCCTATGACGCTGTGCGCTGGTCTGTGCTAGGTTGAGGTGCGAGCCCTGGAGGCCCTGGGGATGGGGGGATACTACCCGCGGGCCTAGAAGGCCCGCGCGCAGGGGGATGGGACAATTGAGACCCCGGTCATGAATGAGTGCGCGACACGCATGTTGCGAGCAGCGTTGTTGATGTTTTGCGCATCGCCACAGACGGCGGCGCGAGAGAGCTGTTGCGAGTGGTGCTGGGCGGCAAAGCCACCACAGTCCCTTCTTTTGGAGAGCACAACGAGCACAAAGTTCCTCCAGCTCCCTACAATTTGGCCAAGCCGCCGGCCTCGCCGCCACCGCCGTCGCCACCGGCATTGCCGCCGTCGCCACCCCCACCACCGACCCAACCCCCCTCCCGCCCAAACCCTCCAGCTCCCCGCGGCCGTCCCAGCCGCCACCGTTTGGGCAAGAAGACTGCGAAAGACTACGCTTGGTGTCAGGACACCCCGGAAGAGGAGGTCGAGTTGCGATGCGAGGAAGAATTCTGCCCCACGTGCGGCCAGAGTCACTCCTGCGACATTTTGTGCGGCCTCTAAGATGCCGCCAGAGAGGCCGTCGGCGAGGGAGGCGAGCACCGATGCGCACTCGAGTGGGTCCTGCCGGTCACCTTCCCCGCACGCGCAGCGGCCAACGAAGCTAACGGAGAGGACGCCGAGCTCGGGGTCGCAGTCCGTCGGCGTGAACAGGACGATCGCGTGGTGGTGATCCGAGGCGTCGCCACCCTCGGCGAGCTGCAGCAGGCCGCCCGGCCGGTTGGGCGAGTGCATGTCGACGAGCTGCTCGACGGAGAAGCGGCCTCCCGCGACCACCTTCTCCAGCTGTTTCTCGGAGATTTGGAGGTAGCCCTCGTAGGAGTTCGAGTGTCGAGCGCACGTCATCGCCTGCCGCTGGCGGCGGCGGCGGAGGAGAAGGCGCCGTCGGCAGAGGCGCCACAGAGATGGCGCCACTCGCAGCCGGCGGCGTGAAGCTCGCGGTGAGGTTGAGCGGTCGCAGAACGCGTTGGGGATGCGGCCTTGCTCGACGGTGGCTGCACAGGCGACTGCAGCTGCTCGTTCTCCGACGCCGGCGCCCCCGTCGGCGACGGGCAGCACCCTTGCGGGCAGCTCTTGAGCTTTTGCGCCCGTGATTGTGAATCAACGAGCAAGAAGAGACGGCCGTCTCGTCGAACATGGGATCAAGCATGGGATTGACACTGATGCGAGTCCAAATCGAGCCAACGCCCGGCCCCCCCCCGCAGTCCAGCCTGCTGTGGAGCTGTCCGAATTCTTTTTATTTGAACTACAAAAGGATGAGGCGGGCGAGAGGCCTTTCTGTTCTACCCTCGAAGGGAAGATTGCCTGGGTTCCCAACAAAAGAAACGCGGGCGAATTTGCGTCCGATCTCCCTTGAATTAACACCTAATTTGCTCGTTCGCATCTTCCCACCGTCGCCCTCTGAAATATGCTCTCGCTCACCTCCGCGCCGCTGTCGCTCGCCCCCACGGCCGTCATGGGCCGCGCGTCGGCGCCCAAGATGTCCTTCGCGGACGAGTTCACGTTTGACTCGAAGCCGTGGTCCTCGTCCGAGATCAAGGACAAGGCCGGCCTCGAGGCGCTGGCCAAGAAGCTGAACCCGACGGTGGGCCTCTGGGACCCGCTCGGCATCGCGGAGACGTCGCCCGAGACGATCGGCTGGTTCCGCCACGCCGAGATCAAGCACGGCCGCGTCGCCATGGCCGCCTTCGTCGGCTACTGCGTTCGTGCGTGCCGCTCCCGCACGCGCGCCCCGCCCGCCCACCACCGCTTGCCCACCCCGCCCCGCCCACCCCGCCTTCCCCGGCCGTCGTTGACGCCCGCTTCGCATCCGGTCGCAGAGTCCAACGGCATCCACTTCCCGTGGAACATCCAGGGCTGGCAGGGCACGCCGGTCGTCAGCTTCGCTGACATTGCCGCGGCGGGCGGCCCTGCGGACCAGTGGGATGCGCTCTCGACGCCGGCCAAGCTGCAGATCCTTGGCGTGATCGGCTTCCTCGAGATGTGGAGCGAGACGAGCGTCGTGCTCAAGGCGGACGGCCAGGAGCACTACGTGCGCGGCGGCAAGCCCGGCTACTTCCCCAAGCTGTCGCGCTCGGACGAGATGGCGTTCCCCCACCCGGTGCCGCTCAACCTGTGGGACCCCTTCGGGTTCACGTCCAAGATGACGCCGGAGCGCAAGGAGAAGGCGCTCCTCGCGGAGGTCAACAACGGCCGCCTCGCCATGATCGGCATCTTCGGCATGATCTCCGCCTCCAAGGGCCTGCAGGTGCCCGGCCTCGACACGGTTGGCATCAAGCCGTATGCGGGCGAGGTGATGGCGCCCTTCGCGGCGGGCGACGCCTCGCTGCCCTTCGTCTCGGGCATGCTCGAGAAGATTGGCACGTACGGCTACTAGGCGCCTATCTGTGTAGCCCAGGCCCCCCAGGCGACGAGCGGCCCCGGCGTGCGGCGTGTGCCCACGCCGTCTCCGCGCTCGTCGAACGCGCGGCTCAGCCCGCACAGGGTGTGTGTGTGCGATCTCTTGTTCTCTACTTAAACCGAACAAGCTGTACACGCGCTTAAAGACAGCTGACAGCAGACAGGGACCGCGCCGGTGCGCGCTGGCCGCTGCCCGCTGCGGCTTGTGGGCCGCTCGTTTTCGCTTTTGTCGTGTTTTGTGCGTTGTGGTTGTGCGCGTGGAGCTGAAAAAAGAGAGCACGGACCTCGCGAGTCGCGTCTCTTTATTATTATGACCTCGTTACCTTACCTCACCTCTATCTAGAGCCGTTAGAGGTCTCTTGAGGACGTTCCATCTCTCACCTCTCAGCCGCCCTCCGCCCACTGCTCGAGCTGCGCGACGCTCGCGGCGTCTGTCCGCGGCGGCACCGCCTCCAGCGCGGACCGAATGTGCCGCTCCGTCACCTCGCACGCATCGAGGCTGTCGCTCAGCGCGAGCTGCGCCGCCTCGCGACACAGCGCGGCCAGCTCGGCGCCCGAGTAGCCGCGCGTCGCCTCCGCGAGCGCGTGGAGGGACACGCCCCCCGCGAGCGGCATTCGGGCCGTATGCACGCGGAGGATCTCCCTCCGATCGCTCTCGTCCGGCAGCGCGACGTAGATCATGCGGTCGAAGCGGCCCGGCCGCAGCAGCGCTGGGTCGATCAGGTCGGGCCGGTTGGTGGCCGCGATGACAACGACCCGCGTGAGCGCCTCCACGCCGTCCATCTCGTGCAACAGCTGCGTCCGGCGGCCAAGGATCAGAGGCAGAAGGGGAGGCAGGCGCTGGCGGGCGAAGAGCGGGCGGGGGAGGGAGGAGGGGGGGAGGGAGCCGACTCCAACGGCCTGTACACACCCGACGGCCCTTCGCACTCGAGGACGCTGTCTCGTCTCTGGGAAGGTGTGCTGGGTCTCTGGGCCCCGCATGTGTTGCAGTCTCGCTCATGCGGGAGGTGTGCGGCGGCTCCCCCCGCTCCGCAGCCTGCCTGCGAGAGGACGCGCGTCGAGACCTGGCTCCCACCGGAGCGGACGGGCGCGAGCGCGTCGATCTCGTCGAAGAAGACGATGGCGGGTGCGCTCGCGCGCGCCTTGCGGAAGAGGGACGCCACCAGCTGCTCCGACTCGCCAACCCACTTCGAGAGGAGCTCGGGGCCCTTGACGGCGAGGAAGCTTGTGCGCGTGTCTGCGGCGAGGGCGCGCGCCGCGAGCGTCTTTGAGCAGCCGGGAGGACCGTAGAGCAGCACGCCTCGAGGCGGCCGGATCCCAAGCTGCGCGAACCCGGCCCTGCGGTGCAACGACAAGGTGTGACGACAGGGGCGCGCCGGCGACTGGAGCGTCGAAGCCAGCGTCGAGGCAGCAAAACCACGCAGGGGGG